CCCCCCCCCCCCCGCCAGTTCTGACCTTTCGAAAGCGGCAGCACGTTGCGTGGCGCTGCTTTCCTGCACCAGAACTGAAGTTCCAGCGACTTCAGCGGAGGGGAAACGTCCGTTCCAACGCTCTCCTTTCCCCCCCCAGCGACACGCAGTACAAGATGACCATCTCCATGGCAGACTGGCCGTCCGAAGCCTCGGAGGTAACGCCGATTTCGTGTTTTGAAACGCTCATTAATAATGACCTGCTCTCAGCCGCATGAATCACTCGGTATTTTCAGAGCTAATGGCCGGGTAGCGAGCGCCTCTTTGCTAAATTACACATTTTCAGCGTGCAAACACACGCGGTGCCGGGGCCTGAGACGGGAGGAGGGACACCCCCACGGCGGCCCCTCCCCTGGGGACCGTCCTGCAGCTCCCTGGCAGCTCCTGTGGGTTCCTGCCCCACAGGCACCCAGATGGAGCTTCTGCTCAGTTCCGACTATATTTTGTTTCCCTAGGACTGGATTTTCCATATTCTGTCTTATGAAAGGGACATGTCGACAAACGTGACCCTGGACAGGTGAGTGGGAGCAGCGGCCGCTTTCTCTCCTCTGTGGAGCCCGACGGGCCAGAGCCCACGTGTGCTGGTGCCAAGGGGGGACGAGATTTGGCACACGTTTGCCGGGAAGGGGCACAAGGCAGATCCGAAACGCGCTTCGCGCGTATCCCTGCTGCGCGCAGCGACCGGCTGGGCCAGACGAACTCAGCGGTGCATTGAGTTCAAACCGACACGCACCGCGGCGCCTCCGATGGGTTCCACGTAGGAGGCTGGAAGCTCTGAAGCTGGGACCAGTCGGGTCCGGCTCCCGGATCGTAACGTGTGTCCCTGCATCCTTGTGTCTCGGAATCTGCCCCCAGCAGTAGGGGGGAACGCACCAGAATCAGGGCAACTGGTGGGTCACCCTCTCAGAACCTAACTCTGAATTAGATGGAAAAGAGATTTTTTCCCCCAAGGAAAAAATCCTGGAGAAGCAGCTGTTGGCTGATCTGTACCTGTGAAGCCCCCTGTAGTGCCGGGGGCCGTGGCACAGCGCTTGGTGCCCTGAGGAGGGGTGACGGCCCCTCTGGGCCAACCAGGGCAGTTCGGAAACACAACCCAAACAGCCCCAAAGAAGCTTCCAGGTGCCCAAGTGCTTCTTCAGGAGGAACTTCAGAACCGCAGCTCTTCCCTTTGCAGCCAGTGGCACTGTTTAAC